TTGTGCACATAGCATTAATAAAACAAGTGATTTAAATGAATCAATGAGGAGCTTCAAAGAACCAGAGGGAGTTTAATGAGATGGGGGTGGGAGGAGGGGGGTACCAGAATGGATACTGATAAAATACTTTTACTCTTTCTGCTTTAAGAAGACAGTTTTTATCATCCCCCTGAGACAATCCTGTAGGTTTCCCATTAAAAAAGAAAGAAAAGCGTACGGTAATTAAAAAGCAGACATTTGGCAGTTATAGAACTGCAGATCCTATGATTCTTGGCCAGCCTTTTATCCGCCCTTGCCACATGGGTCTATTGAATTTGACATGTGTGTTCAGAGCAAACCCTATTAAAGGGTTACTCAAAGCACCATAACCACGTAAGTTATTTGAAGTGGTCATGGTGCCTTAAGACTGTTTGTCCATTGTTTCGCTATGACTCTGTCAGAATCATAGGGGTGTCATCAGCCAGCCTAATCTCAATTCTTGTTTGAACAAAAAAAACTTTTGCTGCACAGAATGTCAGTCTTTGGCTGAGAGTCATCAGCTAACACTCTTCTAAGACAATGAATGGCTTTTTGCCAAAGCCTGTTCCTGGACCACCAGGGAGCATCGGAGCCTGGCATTAACCCATATTGAAGTATATTTTATAGGGGACCATATTTAAGTCTTTAAAAGCACTGTTTATCTGACCAAAACATTTAGGTAACTAAGAGCTGATTTGCATTCACAAATCCTGACAACACGCACAAGTACTTAGCATCACAAGCATCATTGTTTTTTACCATTAAATTATGTATGGCCTTAACAGATAAGAGGTGCTTCTGATCAAAGACGGATGCCCCTACAAACCAAGAGATTTTCTTTACAAAGTAATACACAAAACTAGCTATATTAGGTATAATCTTATTTTCAACTATAAAGAAATTGTAAAACTTTTATTTTAAGGTTAGATTTGTTTCATTTTGAAAATATTCTTGAAATAAATTAACTATACAGCACCCATAAAATAGTTATATTGTCTGCAGGGTCTCTTTAAAGTTCAATGATGATCAACGTCACCATAACAATGTGATCTTTAAGGACCATACTCCAAAATGTAATTACCCACTAAATCAGCTATTGCAGACCGCTCCCACAGAGCCAAGCTAAGCCAGGAGATAAGCCAGCTAAGCTAACCAAAAAAAAAAAAAAAAATAAAAAGATTTTTTCACCTATATGTATGCTTTACAAAATAATACACACACAGGTTATATTGCATGAGATCACATTTAATAATGTTACAATTAATGAAAATTTGCCTTTAAGGCTTAGAATGATGAATGTGGCGAATAACATTTGGTGCATAAGGGTTAAGGTTACTGCCATATTTTCTAAATACAATAATGCATTTTACGTTTCCAGATATTAATAATATCTCAGAGGATAGAATATCAGTCTACCACTTGTAATTCTGTTATATGATTGTACAGGAGAGGAATGCCATTGCAAGGTATTGTATATATGGTTTATTCTCTTTATTTATCGTTAGTTATAGACTTATAAAATACAAGTGTAAAGCAGGGTGCTGACATCTTATTAGGGGCGATGGGAAATGACAGCTTTAATGTTCTGTCTCTGGTCAGTAATTTATAACGGTTATTAAATCAAGAATGGGCAAACTACTTGTCTCCCTCTGAGACCAATTTGGCCTGAAATACACCCTGACGCATTTCGATGCACAGTCAATACAAAAATGTGTATGTCTGCCGAAGTGACAGATCAATAACAGCCCTTTTGTTCTAAAAATACACAAGTTAAACTATTTAATTCTAGGTGAATGTGTTTCCATACTCGTTAAAAAATATATTATACATATATAGATATGTGTATATACATACACACAAATATATATACACACACACAATAGATAGGTAGATGATGGATAAATAGATAGTCAGGTATTATCAAAATAAAATGAAACCAGAACACAAAAAGCGTATTACCTGACCTTAGAATGGACGAATTTAACGCTAATATATAGAACAGTACAGAACAGGCCTAGGTCAGGGGGAAAGAGTGTATGTAAAGGTAAGCCAAGCCAGAATCAAGGAACACAGGAGGAAGAATAGTCAAGGAACAAGACGGGGTCAAAATACAATAGAATCAATAAATACAACGTGCTCTCGCATAACCACAAGAGAAACCTTGACAGGGCACTGAGAAAAGATTCAAATAAACTTAAATAGCCCTAGGTGGACAGGATGAGGTTCTCAGCTGAAATGTAATGCTGAAACGTGCATGCATTATCGTTATTAGCGTCAAGAATCAGGGCGGTGACTTTGCAGCCATAAGAGGGCTCCGTTTAAAAGTGGACGGCGTCATTCAGAACGTGGCGATGGGACATGGGACCGAGCAAGGTTGCTCTGGCTTGCACTCAAGCCTCGCCAGAACACGGAGAGAGCCAGGTGGGCACTATGACAGATAGACTAGTAGATAAGAAATATATAACAACCTTCATATCAGTTTAATGAAATGTTTAATTTAGAGAGATTAAATAAGTAGAAATGATACGCCTTGACATAATAGTTTATTAGATAATTAATTAGTGGATTTGGCAGCTATGGGTAGGGTTTGCTTGGAGGGTGTACACGGCAGCATACGAGTCACCAAACACAGTTCAGTAACAAGTGGCATTGAAAAGATTTACACTAACAGGGTTATTTAATAAAGCGAGATTTTAAAGCAAATTTCACATTTAAGGTCAAAATTAGCGACTTCTCAAAGTCATCTCTGCATTCAGATTGCCTACTTTGGCTTTGAAGTTATAAATTCACTTTGATTTCTCACTGTAGCAAATAACCCTGTAAGTTTTTGTTGTGCTCTCAGCTGAATTCTGGAGCCAACGGGACAGTATGGAAAGGTAGACTGGTTCATCAGAAAAGACAGCGACATGCTTTACATTTCTGGTACACTCTCTGTCTCATTAGAGATTTTGCCTTACTGCTTATAGAAGCAAGGTGAATTGTTAGTGTAGGACTCACATAAGAGGTTTTACCTTAACGTGGCAGGTGAGCTTACACTTTAATCGTCAATATTTATTCTGCATAGGGATTTGAGATAGCGGAGAAGTAATTTTTGTTTTGTTTTTTATTGTAAGTATTAGGGCTGATATGTACTGTGGTCTTTGCCGCTGCCAAGAAGTAGTGGAAATTTGAGCGCAGGGCTTAATTTTGTAAGGTTATATATTGAAATTTTACTTAACTTTCCAGAAATAAGCAACAGTTTGGTCAGTGACTGGGGTGTTCGTATAGGTAGGTTTATTGGTTGAAATGGATACAGAGAGGAGGACAACAGTTGTGAATTTTGACTACTCGAGAAGACTGATCTTTCATTCAGGTACCAAAAAAATGGTGACATTACATATTTCTTTACTTCTTTAGGTCTTTGTCAAGTCAAGGCTTAACATGGTCAAAAACTGCTGCATCTCCTTTTTATAATACTGTCAAATATTGGATATAAGTATTCATTATATCAGAAACTATGACGGTGGACGTTTACCATTGATGCTTGCTGGATAGTGCCTCTCTGCATATCCAAATATTGAATAAATCACAATATTAAAAATCTAATAGGGTTCCCAGTGAGAGGGAGGTAGTAGCAGAACAGCAAAAAAAATAAAATAAGAAAAGACTTGAGAATCTAGAAGTTTGTCTCGGAAATCTCAGCAGTCTGACACATCAGAGCCAATAATATGGTCAGAGCCAATAATTGTGGTCTCATGGTCAAAGCTGGTGAAAATCCATAACGAAGTAGGTCAATTTTCAAAACATCAAATAAAGGAGCAGGAAGAAATGGTATGAAAACAGAAGGTTTGGAAGAGCAGATGAAGAATTGGGTTGGAGCATAGGGTTACCATACGATGGGTATTTTAAGGGTTGACATGTAGCTTGTGGGGTTAACCAGACATCATGTGGAACACTCGGTGCACTATTACAGACTATATTGTCTGCCCAGTGAAAAACAATCCACAATGCCATGCAGACATGGTAATTATGCAGACAATTTCACATTCCAGAAGTACTTACCGTCTATTAGCAAAACCCCAGCGTCTGTGGAAATGAGCAAAGACTGGCCCCACGAATCGCCACCAATGGCTTCATGGGGGAAGCTATTACAGAAGCACTGGGATTCCCATGGCTGAAAAATGAACACAAGCAGTCTAAATCTGGTGAACAGATCTCGTTTTTATATCGCTACAGTTAAAACAATGATAAGTGATAAGCAGGGCAGCACAGGTGTGCTTCTAAGGAGATCTGTGCCAGAAGAATCCTTTCATGGGAATAGCAGGAATGAGGATAAGAATCAAAAAGGGGCAGTATTAAATTGCTTTAATTGCTTTAATATACTTTCATCAACGGGAAAGAAGTTAGACGGAGATGCTACTTAAAAGGTCACAGACTCTGTCATCTAGGAACCTGTGCTACAAAACGGTTTCCGCAATATTCAGCACACGATTACATCTTATGTTTGTAGAAAGTTAATCTGTTTTTTTAATCATTAAACATTACTTCCTCCAACCCTTCCCACTTCATGTTAGACTCCTCTTTCGTTTCTTGATAATTTAACATTTGTTAAGTGTTTATCTATTACAATTTACCGTATCAGCATAACCAGACTGATGTTACTACTTTACCTTTTAACCTTGTACCTCTAATTACATTGTATAAAATGTTATGGGGTTCTAATGTATATGGTATATTGTTAAAAAAAAATTTCAATCTTGCACATACTATAAAAATATTAAATAATTAAATATTTTTTAAAAGGGTACATGTCATTGTACCTAGAACTTATGCTCCTCTCAAAGAGTATAAAATTCCAAATATATATGTGCTAGCAGGTTTGCTACAAAATGTATAGATTAGGAGAAAAACCTTTAAAAATAGCTCTCTTTTTTTACACCTGTCTTTCAATAGTACGGCATAGGCTCCATGCCAAAAGATTGATTGACAGGGAGAGTAGAAGAGACCTCCCACAGTCCTTTCCGCTTGAGCTGGCTAGGGATGGTAGGAATGGTGTGACTGAAGTCACTGCATTCAGATGCTGGCGCCAAAGGAAGCGTGTCGGCGTCACAGAGGAGGCACGGTTCCCCAAGCAGGGCAACTGAAAGAAAACTGCAGGAGGAGAGACGGTGACTGGTGGTGGGTGTTACAAGAGGAATAACACCCACAAAGCTGAGGACGTGGCAGCGGTGGACCAGAGGTAAGGGGAGTCTATATTTCAAAACATTATACTGAATACATCAGAGATTTATTTAATGCACCAATGCACTTTCAAACTACCAAGTGCGACTCCTGGCAGTAATTGAAGGCTGAGAGCGTTGGGGTGGGCTAGCCTGGTGCTCTCAGATTATCACTACTGTGCAGGCTGGATCAACTTGCACTTGATAACAGGGAGGTATAGTTTCCTATTTTTAGTGCAAGTGGGGTGGGATATGTGAGCCAGGAGAAGCCCTGGGTTTTTGTCACACCACTCCTAAACAGTTTGACATTAGAGTTTCCCTTTAAATAAAGATCATTCTGTTTACCATTAATTTGTTTGTATATTTATATTATCCTGTATGTTGCTAATTGACAGCAAGCCACTTAATTAAGTTAATTAGTAATACAATCAGTAATAATACAGGCATAACTTGCAGAATATGATAAATGCAATTAGAAAGATGATGACAGAACAAAAAAAAAAAACCATACTATGTGCTTAAACTTGCTTTTATTTGTCAGTAGTAAACTTAACCAAAATCATACACTCTATTCGTGTTATACCAATACACAAAAATTAAGAGTAAAGAAGGCCTTGCTATGTTCCACATACCTCTTTCCTACATAATCCTGTTGTGGCCAGACTTGTTGGGGCATCACCTCTCACAATGGTTTTTAACTTCAGAGCCTAAAAAACAAAGGATACTGGTAGCCTGAATTGGTGCAACACAAAAAGCAGTATAATTTATTCTTTAATCTGGCAATGATAGAGAATTTGCAAACAATTCACAAATATTAGACAAAAATAGATCAAACCGGAAGAAACTCCCAACTCAAGCCATTTCCGTCTTGGATAATGAAGTCTAAAATTTGCAAACAGTAATTAAATTCTCCAGAATTTCCTCTTTAGTGAGTAAACCTGTTTACGCTGTGTTCTAATTTCCAAAAAAGTGCAACAAATTGATTTTAAGAGATTTACAATAGTATACAGAATGCATCACTTATTCCTTCTACTAAGAATCTAATACACCTGGCCTCTTCCTGGTTTTTCACTATCTTCCCTGTTTGACCCTGGTGACTCTAAGACCTCGATTTAATATTTTTGGATAAGGTTTCCAAATGATTAGATATTTTTGGGTTACATTTTAACATTTTGAAAAATATTTAATTATTGTGTTGTTTTTTTATATATATATATATGCTATATTTTGTGATATTTTTATATTTTGGGAAAAAAAATCATAATCGTTTCAGTTACTCAGCTCTTGTATCTGGACCATATTCCTGAGAAAAAGAAACCACCGGTCTCCAGATCTCACTACAATTTCTGTTGTGGACGTGATACTAACCTGGCCAATACGGACAAATTCTGCCTGACGAGCCTCTTCTTTTTTCCTGGCTGATTTTGGTGATTCTGGAAGAACATCACTGAAGGACCGCCTATTGAGCATGTTCTAAAACAACACAAGAAATGCTTTAAATTCTGATTTGTATATAACTTGTATTCTAAGTTGACCTTGATTTTTAATGAAACTAAACCCCTTAAAAAGAACTTCCCTGGAAAGCATACTTGCAAACTCTCCCCACTAGATGGCAATGCAGTGTAGGCTGGCAGATAATGGACTATTTGGTGAGATTACAGGAGACACAAGGACAATTGTCCACAAAGTTTTAACCATTAGCCTTGTTACTCAGGATAATCTACATTCCTCAGGAGATGGAACAATCATTGCGTCCTCAATTTGAGGAGCAAAGCTTCCTTGTAACCCTCATGATGGATTCAATTTAGTAGGACCTCAGCTTGAAAAAGAGATTTAAGCACAATTTAACTTGGAAAAGTCACCAGTACATTCCGTTTTGGTCATATGAGAATCCACAGATGGTGGAATGCTTTCATGTCCGAGATTTATTCATGGTGAATAAATCACAAGTCTTCCTCCTTTTTATCATGAGTATATTACTGACCAGTTTGGAATTGTGTAAATAACCTCATGTGTTTACAGGAGAAGATTCTCGATGTGGAAAGTTAAATGATTTGAGCACAATTCAGTATTCACACTTCTTATTTTACTATAGCCTCATTGAGCTTGTTCCTGCTATAGTGGAGTCTGATATGCTCTAGCAAATCGTTTACCAAATTTCCTTTAAATAATGTTTAATTTCAGATGCAAAAAAAAAAAAAATGTAATCAAAACTCTCAAACTTGTTGGGACACAATCTAGAACAAGTTATCTGCTCTAAATTACAATACTAACACTTCTGAGGACAAGATTGAATTAAATATAATTTAGCGTCAGCTTCTGTTCTTACCAACATTCATATATAAGCAATTTTATTAAAAAAAACACAGTTTGCTAAAATGATAATGGTAAGAACTCCTAATTACTCTGTTAATGATCAGCCAACAGAGAAAATAAATTGTGTTTGCATGCGGAAAATAAATAATTCTACGTTTGGGCTAGCACGACAGCAGGATATCATCAGGCTGTACTTAGTAATGTTGCACATTTGGCACAAGAGCTGGTACTCATCAAGACTTTCTGCTGACATGTAAAGAGCTGTTTGTGACTAGTTGTTACATAGTGTGTGTAAAGGAGGCTGTTTTTGATGTATTGTATGTATGTGTAGAAGGGACTCTTTTTTGTGTATTGTACGTGAGTAGAGATGGCTGTTTGTGCTGTAATGTGTGTGAGTGAGAAGAGGTATTCAAAAAGATGTTTATTCTCAACAAGCGATAGAGGTGATTGCTCCCTGGTACCCTGGCAAAAGGAGGCCCTAGGTTGGTCAGGCAGTTCTCCCCAGCAGCTTGCGGAGTGCACTCGTGAAGGTGGACCTTAAATACCACATAATCTTCTACAATGCTGAGATCTAAATCAGCAGATGTTTAAGGTGTTAAAAAAAAGACATAAAACACTTTTTTCTTCTAACCATAAAATATAATGTTGTATAAAGCGCTCTATATATTTTTTTATCCTATATTTTACGTATTTCTATTTTTCCCCCCATTTGCGGTGCAAGTTTCCCTTCAAGTCATTAGCAATGCAAGAAACACTTGTAGCATTTGAATTCACAAGACACTATGTAATGAACTCTCCAGTCTTTCGTAAACGAAGGTGTTAATTGCTATGCAAATTTGTTCTTGTTCTCCGAGAGATAACCCCATGTACATCTTTAAATTGAGAGAATAGGTTTTTTTTGTACATTTTATAACAATATTAGCATATGGATGTATTGGACTGGAATCTAGAACGTTGGCAGGCTGGTCGGCTCCGAACAGATGTTGCATATAAATAGATGATCCGCCTGATTCTACAGTTGGCTACACTGAAGCTGAATATTTCACAACAACTAACGGAAAACATAATAAATCAGGATTACCTTATGTAAATCAGGCATGAGATCCTGATAGAGCGATCTTATGAGCATATCCAGAGTTCGCTGTCTTTTCTGGGCAAAGGTTGGCGTCTCCAGAGTGGCTTTCTCACCATTTATTACTAGGACATAAAAAATTCGGGATATATTTAGGAAGTGTTACGTAGTACTGCGGCCAATAGAAAATTAATGCACGTGTGTATATTTTTATACATGTAGTTCTAAGAAACACATACTGTGCTTTAAAACGGACACTGTTCTATAGACGAGGTATATAAAGTGTATTACATTTTATATACACAAGACACAGCAAATATGGAGGCATTGGATATAAGGGCCCTGCCATCTAAATAGTTATTATAGCATAAATATAGGCAAATGAAACTGCTGAATGCAAGCAAATATACAGATTAAGAGGAATTTAAAAGGAAGATAACTTTAGCTGGATGGATGGGTGAGTGAGCGCATGGAGGGTGGCTGGATTGGGTTATTGAATGGATGACGGATGGAGTGATGGGTGGGTGGTTAGGTGTATTGGAGGATGGATGTGTGGCTTTGTGTATATATGGTTGGATGGACATGTGATTGTGTGCATGTAAAATTGGTTGGCTGAATGGTAGGATGAGTGATTGGGAAAATGAAAGATTGGTTGGCTGTGTAATTTGGAGAATGGACGATTGGATGGCTGAATGGATGCATGTGTGATTGGGAGAATGGACGATTCGATGGCTGAATGGATGTATGTGTGATTGGGAGAATGGACGATTCGATGGCTGAATGGATATATGTGTGATTGGGAGAATGGACGATTGGATGGCTGAATGGATGTATGTGTGATTGGGAGAATGGACGATTGGATGGCTAAATGGATGGATGTGTGATTGGGAGAATGGACGATTGGATGGCTGAATGGATGTATGTGTGATTGGGAGAATGGACGATTGGATGGCTGAATGGATGTATGTGTGATTGGGAGAATGGACGATTGGATGGTTGAAGGATGTATGTGTGATAGGGAGAATGGAAGATTGGATGGCTGAATGGATGTATGTGTGATTGGGAAAATGAAAGATTCGTTGGCTGTGTAATTGGGAGAATGGACGATTGGATGGCTGAATGGATGTATGTGTGATTGGGAGAATGGACGATTGGATGGCTGAATGGATGTATGTGTGATTGGGAGAATGGACGATTGGATGGTTGAAGGATGTATGTGTGATAGGGAGAATGGAAGATTGGATGGCTGAATGGATGTATGTGTGATTGGGAAAATGAAAGATTGGTTGGCTGTGTAATTGGGAGAATGGACGATTGGATGGCTGAATGGATGTATGTGTGATTGGGAGAATGGACGATTGGATGGCTGAATGGATGTATGTGTGATTGGGAGAATGGACGATTGGATGGCTGAATGGATTATTTGTGTGATTGGGAGAATGGACAATTGGATGGCTGAATAGATGTATGTGTGATTGGGAGAATTGACAATTGGATGGCTGAATTGATGGATGTGTGATTGGGAGAATGGACGATTCGATCGCTGAATGGATGGATGTGTGATTGGGAGAATGGACGATTGGATGGCTGAATGGATGTATGTGTGATTGGGAGAATGGACGATTGGATGGCTGAATGGATGTATGTGTGATTGGGAGAATGGACGATTGGATGGTTGAAGGATGTATGTGTGATAGGGAGAATGGAAGATTGGATGGCTGAATGGATGTATGTGTGATTGGGAGAATGGAAGATTGGATGGCTGAGTAGATGTATTTGTGATTGGGAGAATGGACAATTGGATGGCTGAATAGATGTATGTGTGATTGGGAGAATGGACGATTGGATGTATGTGTGATTGGGAGAATGGAGGATTGGATGGCTGAATGGATGGATGTGTGATTGGGAGAATGGACGATTGGATGGCTGAATGGATGGATGTGTGATTGAGAGAATGGACAATTGGATGGCTGAATGGATGGCTGTGTGATTGGGAGAATGGACAATTGGATGGCTGAATGGATGGATGTGTGATTGGGAGAATGGACGATTGGATGGCTGAATGGATGGATGTGTGATTGGGTGCATGGAAGATTGGATGGATGGATGAATGTGTGATTGGGTGCATGGGAGGTTGCATGGATTTATGGGTGTGTGGTTAGATGCATTGGAGGGATGTGGTTTGGATGTGTGGATAAATAGGTGGTTTTCTGTTTGGGAGGGTACATGGATGGATATTAGGGTAGGTGGGATATATTCCTGGGTAGGTGGATTGACATACAAACAGAAAATAATATTGATAAACGTTTGATGGAATGTAATAATTATAACGTCCAGGTCATACACTCTCTACAGCAGATGTTCCAATTCTGCTAACCTACTAAGTACACAAAATATTACTACACTCTGCGCTTTGTATCACCGGTGCTAAATACCACACTGCACAGCACACTCTAATGAGAAGTCTAGCACCATAATAACCACTACAGTTTATTGTATAGATAGAACAAACCAATGGCTAAGAATAAAGAAAATCAGTATTAACCATTTCTTTGTCAGTGTGTCCAGAAGGCATTACTTTGCCGTTAAAATGTTACGCATCCCAGTAGTCCGATATCTATCAAATATCTCTAAGTGCCCATGTGTGTCTGTCCTTCCATAAGCGGTACTTTATAGCATACCTCGTAATTCTATAAAGTAACATTCAGTTCTGTATTCAACTAAACTGCTACTAAATACCAATAATGATTGGTCATACAGCATTCCGCGATAAATGACACAGTCCTAGCATTTTCATATATCTCAGACATGTCTACAGAGATAATGTTTCTATTAATCCTTCAATGCCAGGGCAGACAGTCCTTTGCAATTAAGTTTTTTATTCTATCACATATGGCAGACAAAGGGTTAAATGAAGAAAACAACATGATCTATTAATATTTTTTTCAAATATATGGATATAGACTAAAAACATCCATCCGAACATAGAAAGCCGAACAAAAGCGGTTTAAGCTGCCCTGAACCTCTTGACGTCTTTGGGAAGCCCTCTCACTAGTGGTGCATTAATTCCGCCCCAGGCAATGGTACGGTCAGAAAAAAAAACGGAAAAAAAAAACAACACAAACTCACGTTTAACTAGAAGAAAATCCCTGAATTCTTGGTGATCTGTAAAGACAGGAGGGGATGGGAGGGGAGGTCCGAAGAGAGGCACGCTTTCTTCTGAAAATATTTTTAGCCTGTTGGCCAAATATAGATTAAACACAATAGAAAAAAAAACATATTAGATTTTTACAGCAGTTTAAACCATCTGGTTCAGCAGTGACCTATTTCTTTCTTTTTCCAAACACACTTTTTAACAGCCACAGTTATGGAGCTGAAAATCATAGAGCGACAGATGAAAAAGTCTGTATTGAATACATTATTAATTAACCCCTTCCCAGTACTATATGCATCATAATTAACCCCTTCACTCCAAGCATGTTCAGAGAATGAATTGTGCCCATTCCACACTCTACATAACACTTGGTATGTCTAACTTCAAGGCTGCATTCTAGCAGCAAAGGAGAGGGGGAGTAACATTCGGCTGGAATTTTTAGAACTCTATATTCCCAGACATCCCACCAAGTTTCTTACAAACAGCAAAAAGCAGGTAATTTGACAATCTTCATTAACCTATTTTTGTTACACCTACTCTAAGTGACAACATTTTTACCGCTTTATCCATGCAAGTAGATGCATAGCATATCTCAAAAATTTTTATCCTCTCGGTAGAAATATTTTTGCAGTTTTGTCTATTTATATCTGCTGTGTACCTCGTGTGTTAAAAAATGCCTTGTTATTTGTTTGGTTTAGAAAAAGAAAAAACGTGGTAATGAAGAGGTTTATCATTTTTTGTGAGCTAAGAATTACTTAAATCTCTCCAGGAGCTTGCTTACCTGTAACTGTCATTCTGCTTATTGTATCTCACTAAGGCAAAAATATCTGCAATCAGGTTTAAGGAAAGCCCACTGGTCTGAGTAAGTCATTTGGTAACTTAAGAGCTCGCTGTAGTGGTTATGGTGTCAAAAGTGCCATGGCGACTCCCATTGTAAGGAGTCAAACTTTTTTAGGATGGTTGACAACTTACACCTCCACTACTGGCTACTGAGAGCCAGAAACTTCTAAGCAGGTAAGCTTCTTCATTGGCTCATCTACGCTAAGACCACACAATACATGGCTAGATCATTGGTTAAGTGCGTCAGCTGATCACTCTCAGCCAATGAGCTAAAACCTGCACTGCAGGGCTTAGTTTAGGCAGAGAGCTTCAGACTCTCCATCATCAGTGGGGAAAAAAGAAAAGAAAAGAAAACAGCATATTTTAAACCCCAGTGTTCTGTTAAGAACCATTAAAAATGTGCCAT